TGTGTTCCTCCAGCTCCACACTGTGTTGTCTCTGACTCCAGCATCAGTAGTTCTTACTACCTCTGAGGGCATTTGCCAAAGTTGAGTTGAGATTTGTTCTGAAAAGTAGAATTTGTTTTCTCCCGAACACTGATAGCCTGATCTGAATGGGTTAATTTCCCCTCCAGAAGCAAAATCCCTAAACTGTAACTGTGCTTATTGTTTCTCTCATTTTCCCTTAGCATACGTACAGGACTACTTTTGCAAAGTTGGAGGCCTGGATGCTGTGGCTCAGACTCTTGTGAGGTTGGTGGATGAATCCATAAGACATCATTCCAGCACAGAACTGGCAATATCTGTAGTTAAGACACTGAATTCCTGCATCTCAGAAAATCGTAAGTAAATCAGTAGTTTGAACTCCTAAAGTAAAGAGAGGTCGTGCTCGGGCAATTGGTGTTATTTAGGGTGAGATGGTTATAAAGAACAAAAAACAGTATGGCACGGGAACAGGCCCTTCAGCCCACCAAGCATGCGCCAACATATTATGCCTTTTTAAACTAAAAATCTTTCGCCTCTACCCTGTCCATATCCCTCTAATCCCTGACTATTCATGTATCTGTCAAGATGCTTCTTAAGCATTGCTTTGCATCTGCTTCTGCCACCTGTTTTTGAAGCGCATTCCAAGCACTATGACCCTCTGTGGAAAAAACTTGTCTCTCACATCTCCCTTAACCTTTTTGTCTTTTACCTTAAACTTACATCCCCTACCAATTGACATTTCTATCCTGAGAAAAAGACTCCAACTGTCCATTCTATCCGTGCCTCTCATAATTTTGTAAACCTCTGTCGGGTTGCCTCTCAGCCTTGAATGTTCAAGGGACAATAAATTGAGTTTGTCTAATCTCTCCTAATAGCTAATACACTCCAACCAGGCAACATCCTGGTATACCTTTTTTGTTATTCATTTGTGGGATGTGGATGTCGCTGGCTGGCCAGCATTTATTGCCCATCCCTATTTGTCCTTGAGAAGGTGGTGGTGAGCTGTGTCGAACCGCTGCAGTCTACCTGCTATGGATTGACCTACAATACCATTAGGGAGGGAATTCCAGGATTTTGACCCAGCAACAGTGAAGGAATGGAGATATATTTCCAAGTCAAGATGGTGAGTGGCTTGGAGGGGAAATGAAGGAGGTGGTATTCCCACATTTCTGCCGCTCTTGTCCTTCTAGATGGAAGTGGTTGTGGGTTATTCGGTAATTAGGAGCCTAACATTTCTTGAGGCACCAGATAATAAAATCTTCCAAGAGTTTACATATTTAATTAAGGAATATTATGACCCCAAGCCTCCGCTAATTCTGAGACAGTGTGTGCCAACGGAAGTGGACACGCTTTCCAGGCTAACTGAAATTGGAGGACACTTGCGTAGCCTCACTCAGGATTTATCTTGAATAGAGGGATTCGAGCTCAACCCACAGCAAAACCCCAAAACACAGCCAAGCCTCGATCAAACAGTTAACATTTTCTTCAAGATCCAGGCCGGCAATCCATTGTAGTTGCTACTAGTATATGGACTCGAGAGCAAAAGAGGCCCACTAGGCTGGTATCCAGGAGAGTGAACACCCTGGAAAGCCCACCTACATCTGGCTTGGAATAGTTGAAAATGCTTAGTACCATCCAACTCAGAGCCAATCAAAATAAACATCTGGTTAAATGGTCACCGTCTTCTAATGGAGGTTGATTCCTGCACAACTGTATCAATGATTGCAGAACCAGTCTTTAACAAAATTCACTCTGGACTCCACCCCTTAAGTTTGCTTAAGACCTCAGCTAGACTGAGAGTCTATACTGGTGAACCTTTACAGATTAAGAGTACAACTTTGGTTCTGATCTCATATGAGAAGCAGCTGGTTCACTTACCACAGATTGTAGTAAAAGGCTTGGGCCCTAGATTGATGGGCCAAAATTGGTTGAGAAATATTAACCTAAATTGGCTGAACATTTTTCAATTAGAAAATGGCTGCCTGAGTGAAGTTTTATTTAAATTCCTGGACGTTTTTCAGATGGTCTAGGACTATCAAAGGAGCCAAAGCTACCTTGCATGTTAACCAAGAAGCAATTCCATGACTCTGCAAGGCTCACCCAGGCCATTTGCCTTATGTGCAACAGTGGAGGCAGAAATCAGGAGGATGGAAAGTGAAGGAATCATCACTCCAGCATATTTTGCGGAATGGGTGGCACCGGTCCTACCGATTGTGAAGCCCGACGGGTCTGTTCTCCTTTGTGGGGATTTTAAACAGAAGGTAAACGGCTTCTCGCAGCTGGATCAACACTTAACCCCTCACATAGAGGACTTATATGCAAAACTGGCAAGGGGCTATCCTTCACGAAAGTGGATATGAGCCATGTCTACCTGCAATTGCCGTTAGACGAGGATTCCTTGATGTGTGCTACAATTAATACTCATAGGGTTTGTACACATGTATGTGACTGCTATTTGGGATATCATCAGCCTATGCAATTTTTCAGAGGACTATGGAGAACATTTTACAAGGTCTATCCCAGGTCGCCATTATTCTGGATGTCGTGCTAATAACCGGGAAGACCAATAAGGAGCACTTAGAGAACTTGGGATAGTCCTTAGATGTTTCTCCAAGGCAGGCATATGCCTTAGAAGTGTGTTCCAGGCACCCTTGGGCGACAGCGTCAACAAGACTGAATTATGCCTGTTGAAAGATAAAGTGAGGGTGGTCAATGGCGCCCTAACTCCCACATCTGTACCAGAGTTTAGGTCTTTACTTGGATTGGTGAATTATTACGAAAAGTTCACACCTAATCTGGCCCCCATCCTGGCACCCTTACATCTCCTATTGAAAAATGGTCAGCCTTGGAAAAGGCCTCGTAGCCAAGACATAGCCTTTAGGAAAGTGAAGAAGCGGCTGTCATCGTTTAGGGTGTTGGCACACTATGCTCCAAAGCAAGATCTGGTGCTGACGTGTGATGCCTGCCCATATGGTATTGGTGGAGAGTTGGCTCACAGATGGCCCAATGCAGGGGAACGCCCAACAGCATATGCTTCCCAGACTTCAGCTGATGCAGAGTGCAAATACACCCAGATGACAAGAAAGGTTTGGCAGTCATCTTTAGTGTGAGAAAGTTCCACCAATACCACGTAAATTTGTAATAGTAATAGCCCACAAATGCCTGCTAGGGCTACTCAAAGTGATCAGGGCCGTCCACCCATAGCTTCAGGTCGAATTCAGCAGTGGGCTCTTATTCTAAGTACGTACAATTACAAGCTGGAACATCATTCAGGAGGCCAAGTAGCAAATGCAGATACCTTGAGCTGACTCCCACTGGCAGACATACCACCGGTTTTGCCGACACTGGAAGAGTCTGTTCTGGTTTTAAATTTTCTGGACACCCTTCTTGTCACTGCTGACAATATCAAACTGTGGACACAAAAAAATCTGGTCCTGGCAAACTTAAAACAGCTGATGGTGATGGTGGAAACAAAAAGGCCGCTGCAACCAGAATTGAACCCTTTCTGAACCCAATGAGACCAGATCAATGTAGGGAATGGAATTTTATTATGGGGAGAAAGAGTGATTGTCCTGATCAAAGGTCACCACCAGATACTGGCTGAACTCCACCAGGGTCATCCAGTGATGTCAAAAATCAAGATATTAGTGAGAAGTTAGGTCTTGTGGTCAGGATTGGACACAGACATAGCCGTGTTGGTAGCATAGCGCCCAGAGTGCCAACAAAGACAGATATTACTGCCAGCACATTCCCCCACATTTGTGGAATAGCCGGGTGAACCCTGGACTTGGTTACACGTCGACAATTCTGGCCCTTTCATGGACTCAACATTCTTAGTTATTGTGGACGGCCACTCAAAGTGATCAGACGTGCATTGAGTTCATTTGTCAATTACAGGGACGATGATAGAAAAGCTGTGAGCATCTTTTGCAATACTGGACTCCTGGAAGTGTTGATCACAGACAACAGGCTATCAAACACCAGCAGGGAATTTGAGTACTTCATAAAGTCAAATGGAATTTGGCATAAAAGGACAGTTCCATACCATCCATTGTCCAATGATCTGGCGGAAAGAGCAGTCCAAACTTTGATGGCAGGCTTAAAGAAACAGCCTACAGCTTCACTCAATTCCAAACAATCCTGATTCCTGTTTGATTATTGGACCATCCCTCATTCAACTACATGCACAGCTCCAGCAGTGTTGCTAATGGGGAGAAGACTCCGCACCAGATTAAACCTGATCTTCCAAGACCCTGGGGGGAGGGTGAAACGGCATCAGGAATACCAATGCCAGATTCATGACTCCTCTAAGCAAGAGAGGACTTTAGGGGATTAAATTTGGTGCTGAAACTTTGGAAATAGCCCTGCATGGGTAAGAGGCATGGTCAACACAAGGTAAGATCCAGTGACGTACAAAGTTCAGGTAGGTGGGGTGGTCCTGAACAAGCACATGAACCTCATGAAATCTGTAAACTTGCAAACAGGGCAGGAGAAAAACATATGCAGCCCCTCAGAACAGCTACGAAGGCTATTGGAACCTGTGGGTTCTTGATTTGATTTGATTTGATTTATTGTTATCACATATACCTAAGTACAGTGAAAAATTTTGTTTTGTAAGCAGTACAGGCAGATCATAACAAACAAGGACATACACATCATAGGGTGCTTAGACAGAGCAAGGCATGCAAGGTTACGACTGCAGAGGAGGTACATAAAAGCAAGGTCAACATTTGATTTGAAATTAGAGACGTCTGTTCAGCAGTCTTATAACAGCAGGGAAGGAGCTGTTCTTGAACTTGTGGTAGGTGTGTTCAAGCTTCTGTATCTTCTGCCTGACAGAAGAGGTTGGAAGACAGTATAACCAGGTGGGAGGGGTCTTTGATGATGTTGGCAGCCTTTCTACCGCAATGAGAAGTATAAAATGGAGTCCATGGATGGGAGGTTGGCTTCCATGATGGTCTGGGCTGTGTACATAACTTTCTGTAGTTTCTTATGGTCCTGGGTAGAGCAGTTGCCACACCAAGCCGTTATGCACCCAGATAGAATGCTTTCTGTGGTACATCTGTAAAATTTGGTGGGGATCCTTATGGACATCCAAATTTCCTAAGCCTCCTGAGGAAGAAGAGGTGTTGTTGTGCCTTCTTGACAGTTGCATCTACGTGGGAGGTCCAGGACAGGTTGTCGCTTTTCGTCACTCCTAGGAACTTGATGCACTCGACCCTTTCCACCACAGCTCCATTGGTGTAGATAGGGATATGTCTTCCTCCTTTCTTCCTGAAGTCAAGGATCAGTTCTTTTGTTTTGCTGACATTGAGAGAAAGATTGTTATCATTGCACCGCAACACCAAGCACCCTA